CCAGACCTTAGCTCTGAAGGTGGAAGGACAACATAAACAAAACAATCAACCACCACCAGTTAGGCAACCACTTGCAATTGGAGACACTAGCAGGAGCATGCCTTGGAGAGTTGAGAAAATTGATTCAGATAAGGACAGAGTCATCTCAAGTGAGAAGAAGCGCGAGAAGAGTAACACGCCTTCTACAATTCCCGTTCGAAAATGCTTTAGATGCCATGGATTTTGGCACATTGCCTCCAACTGCCTGACGAGTTGAGTTGTGTTTTTTACTGAGCAGGGTGCCGTGGAGTTTGTTAGCTGACGAGTTGAGTTGTGTTTTTTACTGAGCAGGGTGTCGTGGAACAAGAAGACAACTGAGGAACATGGTGATGTCTATCATCTTCCACCAGGTGAGGGTGAGATGCTCGTGTTTCAACGAGTCATACAGACTGAGGATACAAGGGGTCTGCAGTAGCTTCTCTTCAACATATTCTACACCTATTGCATTGTGAACGAGAATGTATGCAGTCTCATTATTGATGGAGGGAGCAACAAGAACATGGCGTATATGCAGTGATGGATAAATTGGGTTTTATGACTTAGATGCATTCCTAACCATATTCTCTGGCGTGGTTGAAGAAGAAGAAGCATTGAACAAAGGTGGCTAGTGAAGTTTTTGATTGAGAGATAACTGCGGGATTAGGTGTGCCGTGACGTGGTACCCATGGATTCCTGTCATCTATTTTGGGAAGATAATGACAATTTGATTGTGGAACTCAACATGATGAATTCAGAAACACTATATTCTCTATCAGAGAGGGGAAGCATATCGTCCTCTTTCTTTGGCGAAGCCCGAGATCACATGTGTCCTTGGTAGCAGAGCAACGTCGATGAAACTAGTTTTGGTGATGAAAGAGGATGATAGGACTGAGACACCAATTCTAAACATTAGAGAATCAAGATAGAGCATTTCAATACATCATGGTCGATACCTCACCGTCATGGCCATCACCTAAGGGAGGTTCAGGTTACTCTCATTTTGGATCAAGTTGAACTGACCTTGGATTACTTTGGGAGGATTCAGTAGTCTATGCATGACACTCAAACCCAACTCAGCTCCGTAGTGAACCTCCAAAAGGGTGGAGCAATGTGGATGTATGCTTGCAAGTGGGAAAAAATTCTCAGGTGTTTTGGGTGATGGTGCAGTGGCCAGTTAGATTCAGGTGCATCTCAGACCACAGTAGAAGAATTTTCAGTCCCGGAAGCTTACGATTACTTTGTCATCGTCAACGTGCATCCAGAAGCTTCCACGAATGATGTTGAGTTTCCCTCAACCCCGGGAGACTGATCCAGGGCTCCGAAGACTAATCCAACTAGGAAAGATCAGGAAGGGGGGCAAGGGAGCCAACCGACTCAATTATTTGGGTTAGAGTTGCCAGCCAAGTGCTCCTAGCTATCTATTATTATAAATAAATTCTTTTCTTTATTTAATGTTAGTTTTGGCTTTGAGTTTTTTGTAAGTACATCCTCTTACATCTCTTTTTTCTTTCTAGGGTTGTATCCAACGGGCGAGAATATGTTCTGGCTGTAACTCATCCTAAGGTATTGTGTATATTTCCTTCACTATTTTTGCCACCTTCACCTATCCCTTCCTGGTGGTTGTAGTTAACCCCTTTTGTTACGTTAACTACCACCAAACCTTCCACTAAATTCACCCATCCAACCTCTTAGCTGCCCCATCTAACCACTAAACCCTCTATCGCTGCCTTAACCACATCCATCCCTTTTTGTTACCCAGCCACCACCTTCTCCCTAGCTTTAGTTTGGGTGTATGGTTGTCCCTATTGTTATGTCTTATTACCCATTGTGTGGGTTGTAATCCTATTTAATTTCAGTAATAAAATTTCAATTTTGTTGTTGTTTTGGTTAACTCCGGTGTCACTTATTTTGATAATTTAATCTATGTATAAACCATCTTAGTTCATAATTTGATATTAGGATATTAACATGTTCTAATTTTATGTAATTTATTATACTTAGTATGGTAAACTATTTTTTAATGTATTGATAAATTAAATTATTAATAAATTATTTCTTATTTCACACTTTATAATTTATGTAATATTTATTATTTTATATAATTTTTTTTAAATTGTGGCTTACGCCTTAAAGTGTCTTGTGGCTTGCGCCTTGTCTAACATATGAAAAATGCCTCAATACCTGATTGCGTAATTTTAATCATTAGAGGTATAGCATAATTTCAAGAAAGTTTTACTTATATACTACTTAGAAGTCTAATAAGTTTGGGTTTGTTTTACAATTCAATTCATGTTCAATGAGCTTATGAGTGGAAATGATCTATTTACCAACGTGCTGATTGTTGTTGGGGAACCGAACTTTAATGAGTTTGCATCTGGAGAAGTCGTCCCTTCTCTAGCTGAAGTGCCAAAGAAGGTGATGTTGGAGCTTTCTCACTGGATCGAGGCATCAACCTAACAAACACTGGATTTTGTGCCTTGTGGAATGCTCGCGATAGTGGGAGTGACGAGCTGCTCGTTAAAAACTTAATTTTGTTAGAAATCTATTTATGTGTTATTTTAGTGGAGCTTTCACATTTCTAGTGACGAGCTGCTTGTTAGAAATCTATTCGTGTTTTTTTTTTTTGCTTGAGACTTTACTTTTTTTGTGTTATTGAGATATTATATTACATGTTTTACTCTAAAAAGTGTTGTATTTTCTTCTCTTTGCAAGTGGTGTCTGTATCTTGCTCATGAATATGTGGTGAAACCTCCTTGCCTCTTTTACATCATCATTTAGCTCTTTCTATTGTTTCCAGTCGGTAAATCGTAGAACGACGCTTATCCCAAAAATACCGCCGAAATTGCATATTATTATTCCCTTGTCATTCCAAAATCACCTCCTTATTAAAAACCGCTTCCCAAATGCCTTTTAGGAGCTATAGGAAGGTATCATATGGTATCAGAGTCTAATAAATCCTAAATTTTCAGAAATTTGTTCTTTTTGCACCTAAACTAAGAATCCATACATCCTAATCTAACACTCCCACCAAAAAAAAATTTTCCCAAAATTATCTACCTAGCCCTAGCTCTAACCCTAACCTTAAACCATATCTTTATTTTCTGTTAAATCTTCCATTAGAAGAACAAGACATCATGTCACCAAGGAAAAACCTGTAACGAGGTGTTCAGGAATTCACCATGGAGGACATGCATCATGAAATCCTCCAACTACAACATTCTTGTCGCCTTTGAGATGAGACAATCTAGTGATGTCGCCCACTACCACAACAACGACTCGGCAGATCAAGTGGAAGTGAAATTGATACCAGAGTTAACCCGAAGCACAATAATGGAATCAACTATTATTAAATAAAGTGATTGGCGTTACAATCAAGACTCAAACGAAAACGAAAACACAACAAAACACCAATATTTGGCTAGTGTCGAGTAGGAATACCATGGACAGTTGTACCGAAGCTTGGTGGTTGGTGGTTGAGCAGGGAAGAGATGGTGGTGGATGGTTGGAGATATTGAAGGGTTGGGTGTCTGGCGAATGTAAATAGGAAGAATGGGAGGGGGTGGCTGTTGGAACCAGGTAAGGGAGGCGAGGGTTAGCGGTTGGAATAAGGAGAAAGGAAGGTGGCCGACTACTGGAAATAGGGTGAAGGTAAAGATTGGGGCCAACAATTGGAATAGAGAGAAGGGAAGATTGTCGGCGGCTTGAAACTGGGAAAAGGTGACGGTTGGGACCGATGGCCGGAACGGGAAAAAGGGAGGTGTGGAGGGAATCGTAGAGATAATCACCATTTCGAAGCAGGATACAGGCGGAGTCCCACCTGTAACTGAGTATGTAGTGCCTCTCGCTGTGCGTGCTCCAAGACATCCATAATCATTAGTATTGTTTGCTCCTTAATCTCATTCATTTGTTGCACCATGAATGCACTTAATTACGTGGTTCTACTTCATGAACAACTTGTCTAGTCTGTGGCATATCTACGCTCACTACACCTCCGAGAATATTCGATCCTGAAATATATGTGAATACACCACCTAGAAAGGCCATGTAATGAGGGAAAAAAAAAAAAAAAAAAGATAACCAAGGAGAAGAAAGAAACCTCTTGGGATTTAATTACTGTCAAAATATTGGTTACATGAAATTATTTATAGAATCTCCAGGAGTCGCAACTTCCCAAGATCCCCCAAAATAGCTCTCCAAGGCTTCTTCAAAGTTCTGTTAAAAAAATCTCCTCATACATCATTACGATCACCTCTATTTATAGTTTGAGCTTGCTCGATGTACGCTACACACAATGCTATACAAGAAATAAAAATATATTGTACACATCACCAAATAAAAGTACGAATCCATATAGCCAAATACCTGACATGCATCGTCAGCTTGTTCAGCCCATGGGTGAGTCAACGAAGTCGACCTGACTTCCTGGGAGAACTCGCAGCAGAATCTGCTGTAGATGACTGACTGAATTAGTTGGTCCAGATTATGTATCAAATTGACAGATCGAGAGCTTAACCGAGGTGTCTGGCCAAATTGTGCCACTGAATTGTCTAGTTGGGTGTTTTTTTTGGATCGCTACCTGACTGAACCCGACTCAAATCTGGTTAAGGGTTTTTGCTATACATCCCTAGAATTTGCCAGGTGCACTGTGAGGAAATTATGAAAAAAATGGAAAATGAAGATTCTAATTCCAACTTCAAATAATACTTGGGAAGCTATATGGATGTTCAAATACGCTATAAATTTCTTTTTTTTTTCCTATTTTGCGCATTCAATGAAAAACATCATTCATTTCAGATCTTCCATGCTAGTTGCACCTAAGAAGCATACGTGCCGCTCAATACATGCTAGATTCAGCACACTAATCTGGCAAAATTTGAATCCAGATGTAAGACCTAAGCCCGTGTTTGAGGGGATTTGATTGTAAGAAAGGTACTTTAATCTTAAAAATAAACGAATGAAGAAGATAAGAACAAAAAACTTGCCTTTCTCTGAAACTCTGTTATGCAATTAAGGAGTAGCTGGATCTGCATGAGAATGATAGATACACACAGCCTGGAGATTCAACTTGATGCAAAAATTTGTACATCTAAAATTCGAGTATTGAAGTGAATGATTTACCCTTTGGGTTCTTATAAGCTTCAGAGCAGTTTCAAGCTGCTGCTCCAAGTGTTGAAGCTCTTTAATGCTTAGACTGTCTAGCTGCTCACCCATGAGATGGCTAAAATAATCTCAGCAAAGCTCACAAGTTAGCAAAACAATGAATTCATAGCTGCAAGGTTTTCTTAATACAAAATGCCTACCTTCGGCTTTTCTGCAATGCTTCAATCTTATTCTTAAGCTTTCCGTATTCATTGCATATGTCCCCCTTCGAGAAACAAAAAAGGTTGCAGAAAGCTATAAATGTAACTGTTTTTTAGTTATTTCTGTAGAAGTGTAAACAGATAGGGATATCTTACTAGACCGGTTAGCAACCAAATAAAAGGTCCAGATATATTTAAGTTGCTGATAACAACATGGGAGCTGATCCATACCTGTGACTCCGGTTCTGTAATCTGGAGCGCTTTTTCGGCATAGCAGTACCGCTCATAACGGTCAAGAATCCTATCCATGCTAAGTAGCACGGCAAACATAGACCAGCATCATAAGTACACTTACCCAAACTACTTGGGCACATTTCAAGCTTCATAATGTTTCAAATTTCAACAATACAAAAATATGATATAAACAACCAACAAGTTATCTCTCACTCTCTCTCTCTTGCGGATGATTTACATGCATAACACTCAATATTTACATATCTAACAACTAAACCAAAATGCCACATTACCTATGCATTAAAAGGTGCACTTCACTTTTTAGAAGTTATAATAATGTTATTGGTGTTTAGATATTTAAATATATAGCAATTGGAGTGGTATGCATGTAAATGCCCCATGTGTATATATGCATATATGCGTGCACACATACAAATGCATGTTTTGGACCGAATTGGTTACGATTTACATGTCTTGGCATAACATATAATCGGTTCAAATTCATTAAGTTGCAAATTGATCTGGCTTAAGCCGAGCTAACATATATTTTGTGTGTGACCGCACAGAAAGCCTAGGCTGAATACAGCCAGGATTTGCTTGCTCTCAACGCATGCCAGTTCTGTAGAACATCTTTGCCACATTCACTTAATAACTAGATTTTTTAGATTTGGTTCTACAATGCAATTCAGTTAATGCTCAGTTTCCCGTTTGAATCAGTAAACGAACAAAAGCCTTCTTTATCTACTTGCCAATGTTAACAATGCAAAAGCCAACCTTGAACTACATGTTCATATAAAACGTGTAACGAACTAAACCAAAACACAATACTGAACCATGAACCCACCAATCCGTACTCCATGATTGATTCAACCCAGCTATTCAACTAGGGCTGTAAACGAGCTGAGCTTGAGCGAGCTCGGGCTTGGCTCGTGTTCGGCTCGTTTGAAACTGCTCGTGTCCGAAATCGGCTCGTGAACAGTGTGTTCGTGTTCGGCTCGATTTAAATATTCATCTTCGTGTTCGGCTTGAAATTGAATCTTTAAAATTAAATTGAAAAAAATAAATGTAAAGTGTTGGATTCGAATCTGGACCAAATGTATGCAAAAGAAGACATTAACCACATTATTTATATAAATAATATATGTAATGTATTATTATATAATAAAAATAAATTTTTTTATTTCGAGTTAAAACGAGCCGAACACAAGCTACTTAACGAATCGAACACGAGTTGTTCGCAAACAACGAGCTTTTTTGACCACCCTATATTCGACTTATTGGACCAGCCATCACCCTTTCCCATCACCTCCTCTTCCATGATCAAAGCAGAGATCTCAACCTTTTTTTTTATTTCTTCCTTGTCTGAATCCTGATTTATTGGAGACAAAAGATAGGGCATTATAGACCTGTCTATCATCTCAACCACTGCTAGCCTCCATCTCCTTTTGCTGAGAGCCCGCAACAATGCAACCATTGCGCTTCTTCTTTCCTTCCGCTATGAGTTTCTTCCACACCAAAATTTCAACTATAGTCTCATTTTTACTTCGCTGCTTCGGAATGCTAGACAAGCATTCTTTACTCCTTTCTGCATTTTTTTATTAAAGTAGCAAGGCATTAAGGAAGAGAAATCACCAATTTCATTGTCTCTATTGGCTTCCGCATGCCAATGTTAATCCTGAAGAAATCTACTGAAAGGTCATCTCGGCCAATTGAAAGCCATCTAGCAGACTGAAGGCTCCAATTAGACGATCGAAGGCCAGTTAGACGACCGACAACCAATCAAATGATCAAAAGAAATCCAACCAACCGAAGGGTTTTTAGATGAGCGAAGGCCAGTCAGACAGCTGACGACCAGTCAGACGATTGAAAGCCATCCAGTTGACTGAACGGTTGTTGCACAACATGTTCTGATATGTTAAAAAACCAAAATACCCTATACAATCCCCTAAAGCATGAATAAAACATGTAATTTTATATGTTTCTCTTTATCTCTTATAAATAGGGGGACTGGATCATGTATTGGAGGCTTTTTGTGCTCTTTTTTATCATGAGTTGTCCTGACCTCTCCCTTTCTTCTTAAATCGCAAACATTTAATGTATAAAATGAGTCACAAGGGCCCAAAAATACCACAGTTTGCTCGGGGCAAATCGCTTTGCACCCTCTTCTACCCTTTCTCTCTTTCTTTCTTCTGCATTACACTCTATTCCTTGGGTGATTCGCAGGACAAATCTAGATTCAACATTCTGAAAGGTGCTATGAGCATTGATCATTCTACCAACAAGAAGATGAGCGGCATAATGAGAAGAACTAAAGATTAAGTTTGATCAGGTCAGTTCAGGTCCTAATTGATGCAAAGAGAACGACCATAAGTCCAAGAGCCGAAAAATCACGTTTCTGTCGTCTTCCGAGCGGCTTTGTCTTAGAGGCAAAAATTGCAACAAAAAATGGGTAGTCGGCTCCCAACGACCGATAAGCCCCTCTAGGGGAAAGCTAACCATTAGCATCTCGTTGGAGCTAGATCAACATCGGTTAACTGAGACCTAGTTTGAAGATAAAAAGGCGTTATAATTTCAAATATCTCATTTTGTCTGAAAAATATTTAAACTTTTGTAATTGTGTTTTTCTAGGTTCGATTAAGACTCGAAGAGTTCCCACGCGTCTACATTTAAGCCAACATTTGACAAACTCAAACCTGATTAAAGTGAACACTGGTGCAAGGTGTCCAATAGGCATTAAAATAATAATAGACCCTCAACGCTAAGCATAAAAAAGCTGTCTCTAAATTCGCACAGATAAAGTTCTGAAGGTGGTTCCATGCCTAGTAACTAAAAGCTTTGCGAATGATATGACACAAAACATCTTAGTAGCCAATTTCGACGATTATTCTCATGAAGGGAGTGATAAGATTTACTCAAGACCTGAGGAAAGAAGCGAACCAATCGAGACGATCGACAGAAAACATCCCAAATGCATCGAAAACGTTTCGACTTCTTAGAAAACATCCCAAACGTGTGTGTGTACGGGTCGTGTACTTTACCTTTTAGAGCTCTCGTCCCTTTTTTTTTCTTTTTCCACTTACCTCTGCTGTTGTTTCTCCTTTTCTGCCTAACACAATAGACTCCATGGTTCAATCCACTTACCTCTGCTGTTGTTTCTCCTTTTCTGCCCAACACAATAGACTCCATGGCTCAAAAATACTTGTTGACCTCAACCAGGTCTAGTGTCTCATCTTTGATAGCCTAGGATCTAGTCATAGGACTTTCCTGTTAATTATTCCTAGAAAACTAGAAGGGGAACCCTCATCTTTATAATCTATAAACTCTTCTTGCTCAACTTAGAGTTCCCTATATTGGTCATAACCTCTAGCACTTAGTAGGTGGGGTCAATATAGAGTAGCTCGAGATAAGTTCCCATAGGACTATTTGACCTTAAGGTTGTCCCCGGATGTTGGTCCGGAGTTGTTCACTCACTTGCACTCATTATTGCTCACTTTCACCTCATTTATAACCCTCAAATCAAATCAAAATTACTCTGAGCTTTTTCCAAACACTTCGTGACGACCATCCACGCCATCCTGATTAATTGAGCTCGAACCCAAGTTTTGATGAAAATCAAATTTTGACGCGTTTTTGACCCGATTGTCGGCGATGTTGCCTAAACAACTTCGGATGGCGAAACGGACTGCGCCGACACGCCTGAAACTTTGATTTTGTCTAGGTAAGACGTTTGTTTCACTGCGACGACGTGCCTGGGAGGAAATGAATAAAATGAGTATTATAATAATAATAATAACAATATTATTGTTGTTATTATTATTATTGTTTTATATCTAATATATCCCTCTCCCTAATCCCTCTGAGACCTGCGAGCCTTAGCCCTAATTCTCTCGCTCGCTCGGCCCGTCTCTCGCCCGTCCCTTTGAACTCCCGCGCTCCTCTGCTCGTCCCACTTGCATGCCCGAGCCTAGCGCAAGCTCCTCATTCCTTATCGAATCCTATCCTCTGCGAGGATCTCATCCTCTGCCTCTCTCGAGCCGCCCACATGGGGGTGTCTGCTCCGCTCGTTTCTTCGAGCCGTTTACGAGTTTTCGAACGCTCCTTCCTCGTCTCCCATCTATATTAAGCTTTACTTAATGCATTTTAGAAAGCGAAAAAAAAAGTTTCTGAGGGAGGGAAAACTCTGCCAAATTTATTTCTCACCTTTTTCTTTGGTTCTTGATACTTGTGTTGGTTTCCTCTTACTTTGAAGAGGAGATTAGGTTGTGAAATAATTTTCTGAAACTTTTACTTTGGTTCTGCATTGAAGAGGTACCTCTTCCTCTCCCCTGCGCCTGGCTTCCTTTTGGTTTTTCTCTCTGCCGAGCCACTGAGAATGGCTTTGTTGGATGGTACAGCATGCTAGTTTATTATTGTGCCTATATTTGGAGGTGTTTATTACTTGAGCATGTGAAAATAGAATGACAGATATGTTTTAGGGGTTGGAGGTGGTTATTTGCTTAGGATAGTGAGAATGTGGCATGTTATTAGCTTCTCTCTTTTCTTTTTATTTGAAGCAATTGGAAATATCTCGAATATGAGCTCTGAGATAACACATGCTCCTCTAGAATACATGTTGGGATACACTATGAGGCTTTTTAACTCACTCTTGCTTAGCATAAAGTATTCAAAAACTTGTTTTGCTTTTCATATGAATGTGGGGCTCGTTTTTTATTCCCTATAGTTTTTCCTTGCTCGAAATACATGCTATGAGAAAATTTATTTAATTTGGAAATGTCTTATATCTTGTTTTGATAGTTTAGTTTGGCTCCTCGAAAGGGGGGGGACAGCTTTCATGCTTAGATGTTTGAGGGAGATTGACTCACTCTTAGAACAATTATATTGGTGGCCTAAAGTATTTTCCATGCTACTGTTATAGTTTAAAACATATTTTGGCTCTTTTGGCTCCATATTTCATATTTTGGCTCCATATTTTGATGTTTTAAGGGCATATGGGTGTTCTTTAACCCTTGGATGGCATGGGTTTTGGATCTTTGTTGTGGCTCGGTTTTGGGTCGACTTGATTTTGGGTTTTTGTTG